TCGGGAGGCTGAGGCAGGAGAATTGCTTGAACCCGGGAGGCAGAGGTTGCAGTGAGCTGAGATCGTGACATTGCACTCCAGCCTGGGCGACAGAGCAACTCCATCTCAAAAATAAATAAATAAATAAAAATAAAAAATAAAATAAAAACTACCAAAATATGAGACCCTCCCCAAATCAAGTGAATCGGAATCTCTAGGGGTGGGGCCCAGGCACTGGTATTTTTTCTGGGTTATTCTAAAGCACTGAGAGCCAGTGGTCTAGCTTTGGCTTGGCTGGCTGTCCTGGTTCCCAGGGCAGGGAGGGCAGTCTGCCCAGAGATCCTGCCTTTGCAAGCTCCACCCTGGGCAAAGTATGTCAGTGGCATGCATGCCATTAAGAGCCAGTCGATCATGCCCAGTGGCATCTCTCTGTTGTGGCCACTTGTGGGAAGTGGGCCAAGTTTAGAATGTCATTATTAACCAACTGACTTAGAATATCTTTCTTTTTTTGTGTGTGTGATGGTGTCTTGCTCTGTTGTCCAGGCTGGAGTGGTGTGATCTCGGCTCACTGCATCCTCTGCCTCCCAGGTTCAAGCGATTCTCCTGCCTTAGCCTCCTGAGTAGCTGGGATTACAGATGTGTGCCACCATGCCCAGCTAATTTTTGTATTTTTAGTAGAGATGGAGTTTCACCATGTTGGCCAGGCTGGTCTCGAACTCCTGACCTCATGACCCACCCACCTTGGCCTCCTAAAGTGCTGGGATTACAGGCATGAGCCACCGCACCCAGCCTAGAATATCATTATTAACCAACTGACTTAGAATATAATTATTAACCTACTGACTTAGAATATCGATATTAACCAACTGATGTAGAATATCGGTATTAACCAACCGACTTAGAATATCATTATTAACCAACTGATGTAGAATATCATTATTAGCCAACTGACTTAGTATATTGGTATTAACCAACTGACTTAGAATATCATTATTAACCAAATGACTCAGAAGATCAGTATTAACCAACTGACTTAGAATATCAGTATTAGGCCGGGCACAGTGGCTCACGCCTATAATCCCAGCACTTTGGGAGGCCGAGGTGGGCGGATCACCTCAGGTCAGGAGTTTGAGACCAGCCTGGCCTACCTGGTAAAACCCCATCTCTACTAAAAATACAAAAATTAGCTGGGCGTGGTGGCGGGCACCTGTAATACCAGCTACTCGGGAGTCTGAGGCAGAAGAACTGCTTGAACCCGGGAGGCAGAGGCTGCAGCGAGTGGAGGTCACACCACTGCACTCCAACCTGGGCAACAGAGCGAGACTCCATCTCAAAAAAAAAGAATATCAGTATTAACCAACTGACTTGCCCAAGTTACCTTGACTCCTCTGAGTTTATTTTCTGGGCCACTCATAGAGGCTTAGGCCCAGTCTGAAGTGTTCTCTCTCTGCCTTCAGGGAAGAAAGGCTTAGCTATGGAGACAGGCTCGGCCGGAATGCCATCCAGCTCCCACCTCCTCACAGTATTTCACCCTTCTGCCCTGCCTCCGTGAAATGGGCACACACCAGCCAGTTCAATCACACAGCACATCTGAAGCTGAGAAAAGCCATGAAAACAGCTCCAGGCCCCCCAGCTGGCCATACCCAGAGGGAAGCTGCACTGCCTCTCCGTGCCACACCTTGCTCATCTGAGAAATGGACCCTGCCACGACCTCCTCTTGGGCTATGGGAAAACTGAGGGGGGCAACAGGTGCCCAGCACGGAGCCTGGTTCCCTTCTCCTCAGGGCCTGTGGGTGGGCGGCTGAGGGAGAGGCGTAGGATGTGCCTACTTACAATTTGGTCAAATCCGCCGACAGTGGCCGAGCCTGGAACGTCCTCCTCCTGACCTCGGGCTTGGCCTCGGAGCTCTCGGCAGTCCAGCCTCTGATCCGCTCCTGGACGCTGACAACCCCTTTCTCCGGCTCTGGTGCCACCAGTAGGGACGCGGGGGCAGCCAGGCAGGGTTCAGACCCCACTGCCAAGGCCAAGGTGCTGTCCTCCCGAAACAGGTTGATGCACTTCCTGACGCTCCTCCTAGAGGCCCACTCTCCCCCTGCCGGGGCCTCCCCGTCCGCCATTCTGCTCTTAACCTCAGCAAGTTCTAGACCCCTTCCCAGCCTGGGCGAGGGGGACTCAGCAGCCTTCTCTGGCTCTGGGTCCAGCTTGGCCCTTTCTTCCCGGGAACTCTGGTCATTGCTGGGGGTGACCCTGGCTGAGCCCCCCAGGGCTCTGGGGCTGCCCGTCTCTGGCTTCGAAAGCATCTTCTCCTTCTGTTCACGGATTTTCTTGGCCACCTCTAGGAAGTCCGAATCAGGATCATGAAGAGGAGCCTCCGCCTTGACCAAACACTCCCTGTCCAGCTTGGACGCTGCTCTGGGCCTCTCTAGCCCAGCCATGTCCCCTGCTGGGGCTCCACTTCCTTCATCGGCCACTTTCCTCAGCAAGGCCTCTTTGTTCTCAAACCGGGCCGTGAGGTCCATGGACAAGGGCCTGGGCTTCCTCACCCATGTCTTCTCGGGAGGGGTGGGGGGCACTTTACCCACTGTGGCCGCTGCACCAGGGCCTGGCTTCTGAGGCTGAATGAACTCCGTGAAAATGGCAGACACGGGCCTCCTCTTCAGGCGAGGCCTGGGCTCCACAACGGGGCGTGCCGTGTCCTCCACACTGCTGGCCTTTAAGGGAGGCTGGTCTTGGCCTGCCTCCTCCTGGGGTACAGGTGACTTTGTGTCCTGAGACAGGGGGCCTGACCGGGGAAGGGTCCCTGCAGGCTTTCGGGTGAGCAGGGCGGGCTTGGCGGCCACCTCAGGCCGGGAGCCAGACACACCCGGCTTGGCCTCCTCGGCCCCCTCACGGACCGCCTTCCCCACAGTGGGGCCGCTTTTGGTGGTTTCGAAGAGAATCATGGTGTTGGGGCTGGGCCGCGGGAACACAGCCTTGTTGAAGAGGGGCGAGCCCGTCCTCGGGCCCTCCCCACTGCCCACCTCCTGCCCCACCAAGCCAGGCATCCTCTTGTCCAGATCCTTTGCTGCTGGCTCCTCAGAGAGCCCCCCAGAGGAAGAAGGTCCAGTTGAAATGGGCCGCAGAGATGGGACAGGAGATTTCACGTCCTGCTCCTTCGAGAAGGGTTTGGGGGCGAGCCTTGGCAGAGGGAGTAAGCGGGCCGGGCTCCGCAGGGGGCTCTTTGCTTCCAAGATCCGGGCTGGAGGAGCCCCAGAGGCTTCGCCGGCCTGGAGGAAGTAGGTCCTCGTCAGGGTCTCCTCCTTGCCAATCTCACCCAGGCCTGGCACGGCTGTCAAGGGCGTTATGGAGCCCACCTCGACCCGCGTGGCCATGGTTATGGTTGTGGACCCATGGGGGTTAGGAACATCGAGAATGGAGAAGCAATTGCTAAACAAAACAAACAAAAAAGTAAGTTTGGAAAACAGTCAGCGTCTGGGTTGAAGCACAATGGTTTAGAGAAATGGGACAGAGTCCTGAGCCCCAGATTCTGTTACGACAGCCCTCCGCTGACCTCACCAGGCAGGCTTGGACCTGCCTCTCCCAGTCTCTGAGCTCTGGACAAGGGGAGTGGACTAAACGTCCATCCCTGAAGTTCGTTCCAGCTCTAAGGGTGTAGAAAAAGCATCAACACTCGCTGGAGGGTTTTCCCGACTCAGCTCATCTAGAGGTCAGCACTTACGGCAAACAGCAGTGATCTCTGCTATACAGATAAAGAAACCAGCTCAGAGAGGCCAACTAACTGGTCTGGAGTCACCCAGGAAGCAAGACGCGAAGCCAGGATTTAAAACCAGGTTTGACACCAAACTCACACCACACATGCTCCTCCCTGAATAGGCCTCAGTGGGAGCGTCCTCACATTCCCTCACTCCTGTTACCCTGTTTTCCCACTGCAGAGCCTGCCCACATCCCAGGTGATCCTAATCACAAGTGTATGCTAAGCACCTAGCACAGAGAAGGCAAGTGACCTGCTACAGGTCACACAGCAAAGCAGCTCGCAGCTCGGGAGTGCCTGGGAGCATAAAGCTGGTTAGTGACCTTGGAACCCATGCCCTAGGCACCAACCCCACCCAATCGTCCCTTAGTTCCTTTTCTTTCCCCTCTCCCACCCTTCCAGATGCCATAAAAAGAAGCCATTCTCATTTTTCTCACTCAACCTGCTTTTGTTATTTGTTTGCTTGTGGTTCTTTTCTGTTGAACACACATTTTATGCTGACTGCCTTCATATTCTTAATAAAAAGAGAAACATCCAACTGTGAGGGCTTCCCGTGAGTGAGATCTCGAGCTATGTGACATGCTTCTTGTGTTTTATAAATCTCATCCTCCTCACAACCCTATTTAGTGGGTACAATTAGGAGACCCCATTTTGCAGCAGCTTGGGGCATAAGCCTCTTGTTCATGCTGCTATGAGATCTGTTTTCTCAAAGCAGAGGCCTTCCTCTCTCATTAATCCTCCAGCAACCCCGAAAGGCAGGAATGAAGGCATCATCGTTATCTCCCTCATGGAGATGAAGGGAAAGGGCCCAGAGAGGTCACCAGACTTGCCTACAGTCACCCGGCTGAAACCTAACCTCAAGTCCACTACCCACTTAGCTCTGTATTATTTTTTTTTTTTGGAGACCGAGTTGCACTCTTGTTGCCTAGGCTGGAGTGCAATGGTGCGATCTCAGCTCACAGCAACCTCCTCTTCCCAGGTTCCAGCCATTCTCCTGCCTCAGCCTCCTAAGTAGCTGGGATTACAGGCATGCGCCACCACCCCCAGTTAATTTTGTACTTTTAGTAGAGATAGGGTTTCTCCATGTTGGTCAGGTTGGTCTCAAACTCCTGACCTCAGGTGATCTGCCCACCTTGGCCTCCCAAAGTGCTGGGATTACAGGTGTGAGCCACCAGGCCCGGCCTCAGCTCTGTCTTTTTAAAAATTATTTTTTATTCCTTTCTGGTCTTAAAAAGTGCCAGGTAAGTTGCTGCTCTCGATCCCTCAGGCTCTCTTCATGCCAGTGTTTTCTTCCCTGTGAAACTGCCCCCAGCCAGCCCCCACCTAGATGGACTAAAAAAGTAGAAGGTATTTTAGTTAAATACAAGCCTCTCCACTTCCCTTCCTTGGGGCCCCACACTGCTCCCCCGGCTCTGACTCACTCAGCAGCCTCCAGGAAAGAAAGGCAGACAGATTTTGATATTTTCTCTTCCTTACACGCTCGATGGTGCTAACAGATTCAATCTCCCCAAACTGGAGAACACTGTCTAGACACGGTTAGAGGTAGAACGGAGGGACAGATATGAAGGATCTGAGAATTGGAAAATTTCCATCCACAAAGATCCCCACCAGAGTTCTAAGGCTCCAGAATCCCACCCAGAATCAGGGCCATTGGCCTTTAGGGCCAGCCCCTGTGACCTCTGGAAACCCTGATCGGGGATACATACGTAATAGCCAGCACATGAGACACGGAACAATGACAGGATTCAAAGGACAGAGAGAAAATTTTCTGGCAGAACCCACAGGCGCTCTCCACGTCCCTGGACACTCCAGCCCTCAAGCTTCGGTCAAGCATGGGCCCCACTTACCGAAGCTGGCAGGCCCTAGGTCAGGGGGTGTGACTGCCGGGGAAAGCCAGTGGTGTCACATGTCATCGTGAATGGGGCTGTCCACACACTTCCATGGTAGAAACAGGAGGGGGGAAAGCAGACTCGTCCCAGCAGGCTGAGTTTCAGCAGGTCTATGGAGACACAGGATGACAGCCTCAGTTCCGGAGTTCTGGCAGTATGGGAACAGACGGCACAAAAGCTTTCAAAAGCTCCAAATGCATCCGCTGGCATCTACTCCAGCTTGTAAAACGTATGCTCCTTTTGGCTTTTCGATTTTGTAGCCTTATATGTACGTGTGCATAAATAGTGCTGAGCCCACAGTACGTGCTCAATAACAATCTTCCCTGTCCTCTGATACGTTTATTGAGCACCTACGGTGTGTACAAAGATGAGCATGAAATATCCCCGGCAACCATGCAACTCACAGTCTTCTGTAAGAAACACACACATACACACACAGCAATTACAACTGGGTAACAAATGTCACTTTTTAAATGCGGGATGTGGGGGCAAATAGGAGGACTGATTGCCTAGAATTGGAACTGGTGGTTCTGGACAACTCGCTTGACTTAAAGGAGGTAGCTGCTGAGCATTCAAGGTGCTGAGTCACTTGGTACCTGCTTCTGCTCATCAGCAGTGTTTGGACATTGTACCTCTTTAAAGCCCTCCAAATGCCTCCTCCGGGCCTTTGCACATGCTATGCCTGTTCTCTGGGACAACTGTCTTGCTCATACATAGACACAAGTCCACCCCTCAGACCACAGTTCACACATCTCTGTCTCCCTTCAAGCCGGTGCAACCCCCTGCTACCTGTTCACAGAGCACCACATACACTCAGAGACTTGGCAGGACTCAGCATAGCTGCACTGTTGCATTTAATAGGACATCATCCTTCACATCAGCTTCTCCCATTCAATGGTAAGTCCCCCAGAGGACACCCCAAATCCCTAGTGGCTAGCACAGCAGCCTGGCACATAAAAGTACCAGGTACCTGATTATTGAATAGAGAAATAAATCATTGTTGAGTTACTAAGTAAATGAATGAAGAATTATTCTTCTGCCCCTGCTGCCCACTCTCTAAGATGCTAAATAAGTCCGTCCAGGTACCATGATTCTCATGCCAAATGACTCTAAGCAATCTGGGACATAAGATGAGTTACTCTAGCTGTGGCTGTGGCTACTGAATGACAGAACCAAAGAGCTGTGAAGCGTTCAGCCAGAGGCTCAGTCCACCAACCCTCACCCAGAGACCCCTATCAGTTTCACAAGCCAGAGGCTCAGTCCACCAACCCTCACCCAGAGACCTCTATCAGTTTCACTGAGTCACACAGAGGAGCTCCACCCTGAGGGCAGGCACCTGCTGCATCCACATTAACCTCACACTGTCACGCCAGCTCGCATGCCCAAATGTGGAATGAATGCTTCTCTGCATGGATTTTCCTGGGAAAAGAGTCACCAAGAGCAACCCTTTGCTGAATTAGGATCAATGGTACACAAATGTCACCCCACTTTGGGAACCTTGAACCCACCTCCTCAGTGACTATACTGCATGGAAACAAAAGGGGAAGGATAAGATAAAGTAAGTCCCTTGGTCCACACTCCTGTACACCAAACAGTGCCTCTGTGACCCGTCATCTGCTTTGTGTCTTGAACTGCCTCTCAAGTTACCATTGCAAATGCCTAGCAGATGCCTGGTATGTAAATACAGTTGCACAAATGAGTCAGTGAATGAATTAATAAATCAATGAACAAAGAAAAGTAAAAGGAGTTGTTTGGGGTTTGCTTTTTGTTTGTTTGGTTGGGTTTTTATTTTTGCTTTTTTTTTGAGATGGAGTCTT